CCGTCTCTACTAAAAATACAAAAAATTAGCTGGGCATGGTGGCGCGTGCCTGTAATCCCAGCTACTCAGGAGGCTGAGGCAGGAGAATTGCCTGAACCCAGGAGGTGGAGGTTGCGGTGAGCCGAGATCGCGCCATTGCACTCCAGCCTGGGTAACATGAGTGAAACTCCGTCTCAAAAAAAATACTGAATAATTGAACAAGTATACTATAGTTAGTAGACTTGACTTACCACATAGCTGTCTTCTAAGGCTAACATAACAACTCAGGAATGTTTCAGAGTAGAAGCAGAGAGTGGATTTAAGTCTCAGTGTATAGAAAACCCAAAAGCCTAGCATGGCACTTAAGCCTTGTGCTAGAAGACAAAATGGCAATCTTCTTGGGTATCTTTTGAGGTGTGCATTAACTCTATATCTACAATACACATTTCTGTCTGAATTGTAGAGAAATAAGAAGCATAAGAAAATCGAAATCAAGAAGCTGAAGCCTGGAATAAATCAAATATAGGTGATACTATAGCCTGGGAAAGATGGGTTAAACACATGGAAATGGAAGGAAACAGGTGAAATGCAAAATGAATAGTAAAAGGAAAGGACTTAGTACCAAGTAGTTGTTTTTCCTGAAATGAGAGCAATGGGAAATAGAGGACAGGCAGTAAGAATCACTTAGGGTTAGTAGTTTTGGATCACTGGCTAGTACAATTGTTATTTTTTAAAAAAATTTATCCAAAGAACAGAGTGGTGATGTAAATGATACTTCTCATTACTGAAAAAAATGCAGGGCTCATTGCTGTTGAATTAATTTAAATTCTACTCATATATTAGAAATAAAACAGATTTGGATTCTTGACACGTTAAAAGCTCAACTTACAACAGTCAGCAAAATCTGGCTGTGCAAAATTTATGACAGTAAATCAATATTGTATGATCCAATCACTATAATCCAGTTGAGTATAGCTTTTTTTTCTTCGTGTAAAAAACTTTTCTTTCTTTTTTCTTTCTTTCTCTTAGAGAAATTCTAAATTTGGTTAGGGGGAAAAGTTATTAAATATTTATGCCCTTCACAATAATCTTACAGAGCCTCAGCAAACTGTTCAGCCTCAGAACACAACTGTTTTAACTATATAACCTCCCATCTCACAAAAATATTACTATTCTATTTATTGCATCAAAGCCAGTAATAGCATGATCAAGACCTTTGATTATTCATAACAACAGCAACCCTAATTAAAGAGACATGGTTCAAAGCTGCAATTCGCTTTGTCAGGGAATAAAGTTTTAAGAGTATCTTTCCTTTAGGACTGTTTCCTCCTGTCTCACTTAGAATTTTTGCTTATCTTCTATCAAATATCATCTTTGATATACACACATTTCTCACATAGTCTTGCACTATTCCTTGCACATTGACAGATTTAAAGCATATGAATATAGTTTGGTCTCTTATTTCTCTTTACCTTTATCTTTTTCATAAAATGTTGTATCCAATTTAAAATTTAACCTTGAAATCTTTTTTGGTAAACTTTTGAAGAACTTTATCATGGATGGATAAGGCTGATAACTCCTTACCATCACAAAGAGACACACAGCCAGGTATCATATTACATCCATAATACTGGGTGGAAAAATAAAGACCAAAAAAGCTTCCATCTTTCAGACCACTATATTTAATTACCACTTTAGAGAAGATTTAGAATTCAGAAACAGAGTTTAAAAGACAATACAGGGAGACAATCAGCAAATCCAAAATGTAGGAAACTGTACAAGACAAATAAGCCATCTTCTTCTACAAATAAACTGCTAGGAAGTTGAGAAAAAAAACAACCAAGAAGGGAGAACCTAAGATGAAAAGACACTTAAGAAACCAGATACAACCAGTGTACCTTATTTAGATACTTTTTTGAAAAAAATCAACTGTAACATTAATGAGACAATTGGGGAAATTAAAATAATATTTGGTTATTAAAGAATTATTAAATTTTTAGCTGTGATAATTATATGTTGTCATGTTTAAAAAAGCCTTTATGCTTTAAACTATACATGGATGAAATGATATGATGTTTTAACATTTGGTTCAAAATAATCCAGTTGAGAGTGGGAGAAGATAGGAAGTGGGTAGAGGTATGGATGAAAGAAGACTGGCCATATGTTGATAATTGTTGAAACTAGGCAACAGGTATATGGGAGTTCATTTTCCATTCTTTGTATTTACATACGTTTAAAATTTTCCATAATAAAGTTAAAAAATTTTTTATTGTGGTAAAAACCACATAAAATTTACCTAAATTTTAAAAATATGGCTAAAAACTCAAGCTGATATAAAAGATATATGCAAAGCAGTCTTGCTCCTACCACTATACCCATCCACCCATTTCCTCAGCCCCCTATAGGTTCCATTTTTAATAGTTTCTTATTTATCTTTTCACTGATTCCTTATCCAAATACAAATACATATTCTTACTTCTTTTCTTTCTTACACAGTAGGATGTATACGATGTATATTCCCTGCATCTTGATTTGTTAAACCTAATACTGTACCCTCTGTAGATCTTTCTATTTTAGTTCCTAGGGATCTTTCTGATTTTTTATTTTCTTGCTCTGTCACCCAGGCTGGAGTGCAGTGGCGCAATCTTGGCTCACTGCAACCTCTGCCTCCTGGGTTCAAGCAATTCTTCTGCCTCAGCCTCTCAAGTAGTTGGGGCTATAGGCACATACTCAACTAATTTTTGTATTTTTAGTAGAGACAGGGTTTTACCATGTTGGCCAGGATGGTCTCGATCTCCTGACCTCATGATCCCCCTGGCTCAGGCTGATTCTTTTTCAAATGTTGAATACTGCTTCAGTATGTGGATATGTCATTATTTATTCAATGAATTTTTTGTTGCTCAGACACTAGGGTTGTTTCCAAATCTTTTGATGCTACAAAATAACGCACCAATGAAGCACACCAATGTATTAAGCTTGTTTAATACCTTGCAGGTTTATCTATAGGATCAAAATGAAGCTGCAGTGTCAAAAATGCAAATGGATATAGAATTTTTACTGAATTCCCTCACACAAATGCAGATTTCTTTCTGATATGAATACACTGTCTCTTAATCCTAAATTTAAGGACAAGTTTCTTGAGTAAAAATCTTAGTAGAAAATAGAGAACAAGCTAGGTTAATGAAGACATCAGTGATGAAAGGAATTGAGATAGGAAACAAGAAATATCAACTAGGCTTTGAAATGTGGGTTTTAAATTAGTTGTGGTTATTCTTTATCAGGTCTTACAGGAATCTACATATAATTACTCAAGCTTAATACTACATTTAGGTTTCACATAACAATTAGACTTCTACACAGAAAACAGTCTTTGAAAGACTTGCTTTAATCAAAAAATAGAAAATGGGGTTCTGTTCTAGGTAAGACAGAATAAGCAAACTCTATCCTGTCTTTCCCAGTGAATGCAACTGTAAAACCTGGACAGGATGAATTAAGTGGCTATTTGAGGACTCTGAAAAATTAATAGTAGTAAACATATTGAGAAAGAAGACCACCATGTAAAGAACCATTGAATTAGCAGTGAGATTATGATATTTTTCCCTTCCATATCCCCTTATCTGAATGCAGCTCAGCTTAAAACCCAAAAGCTTCAACAGAAAACTCCAGAAGAAGGCCTATAGTTCTGGCTCATGAAACAAGAAAGGGGGCTCCTGAATGCTTGGAGATAGTGTAGAAATACAATATTTTTTGTTCTGTCATAAGCCAGCCTCTGAGCAATTCCATGATGGTTGTGGCAAAGGCTGTAACACAAAGAGAATGCTCAAAAACAGTGGTCCCCAACCTTTTTGGTACCAAGGACCGGTTTCATGGAAAACTATTTTTCCATAGACAGGAGTTTGAGGGATGGTTTCAGGATGAAGCTGTTCCACCTCAGATCACCAAGCATTAGATTTCCACAAGGAGCCTGCAACCTAGATCCCTCACATATACAGTTCACAATAAAATTCACACTCCTATGAGAATCTAGTGCCGCTGCTGATCTGACAGGAGGTGGATCTCAGATGGTAATGCCCACTCACCTGCCACTCACCTCCCACTGTGTGGCCTGGTTCCTAATAGGCCATGGACCAGGAGTTGGGGACCCCTGCTTATGAACACAGAGGAAGGAAAATCTTTCTCTTTGACTAACAGAACTGCATCCCAAGATGGTAGGGCAAACTCTCATTGCTTTTATTCTTTGTCCTTCTACCACTTGGCCCTGGACGTAGGTGCAGTTGTGCAAGTGTATGACAGAATTTGGACAGGAGACCTAAAGAGGGAGCCCCAGCAAATCACAAACTATGGGAGAGACTATAGAGAGGGTGAAGTTTCAGAAAGTGACCCCATGAAGTAGTTCATACATGCTTGAGCTCATTGTCAAAGCTGTGCATAAATGGATTTGATCCTACTTAGCATACCAAAGACACTGAAAACTGAAACAACACCCATGTCACATACTGGTTGTTGCACAAATACAAAATAAGCACAATTATATAAAGTATGCTCTTAGATCACAATAAAATTAAGCTAGAAATCAACAGCAAGGAATGACCAGACAGCCTCTAAATATTTGGAAACCAACCAACACGATTCTAAATAGCTCATGGGAAAAGCTCAAGGAATATCAGAAAATATTTTGAACTAAATGAAAATAAAAGTAAACATTTGCAGGATGAAGCTAATGCAATGTTTAGAGGAAAACTTATAGCATTAAAAATGCTTGTATTAGCAAAAATGCAAGGTATCCAGTCAGTAATCTAAGAAACTATAAAGAGAGAACAAAATAAACCAAAAGCAAGCAGAAGGAAGGAAATAAGAGCAGAAATCAATTAAACTATATACAGAAAAACAATAGAGAAAAATCAATGAAACCAAAATCTGCTTCTTTGGAAAAAAAATCAACATAATTGACAAACGTAGTTCTACAATTCTGACAAGAAAAAGAGAAAACATAAAATACCAAAATCAGAATGAAGAAGATCATATTACTATAAACTGTGCAACTATCAAAGGGACAATAAATACTGTAAACAACTCTATTGATATAAATTCAAAAATTTAATGAAATAGACGAATTCCTTGAAAATCACAAGCTACCAAAACTCACCCAAGATGAAATAGGTAACTTGAACAATCCTAATTACTAAAGAAGTTGACTTTGCGGTTAAAAATAAGCAATCTCCAGGCCTATGTGGTCTCTTGGTAAATCCTACCAAACGTTCAAAAAAGAAATAACATCAAATATACTCAATTTCTTCCAAAAAATAGAAGAGGAAGGAATACTTCCAATTCATTATATGAGGCCAACATTATCCTCACACCAAAACCAGTCAAAGACATTATGAGAACAGAAAACAAGACACCAATGACCAAGGAATGAAAGGCTAGTTCAATATTTGAAAAATAGTGAATGTAATCCACCATACTAACAGTTGAAAGAAGAAGCCAAATGTCCCTATCTATTGATGCAGGAAAGGCTTTTGACAGAATTCTGTTCTGTTTGACAGAAATCTGTTCATGAGATTAATAAAACTGTCAGCAAATTAGGGATAGAAAGAAATTTTCTCAACCTGATAAATGATGTCAACAAAAAAACCTAAAGCTGACATGATACTTAGAGTAAGACATAGATATTCACTCTTATCATTCCTATTTATTATCCTTTTGGAAGTTGCTGCCAATGCAATAAGGCAAGAAATAAGACAACAAGCATACAGAAATAATAGGAAAAAATAAATCTGTCTATGTAGAGCACCCCAAAGATTTTACTGAAAAACTCTGGTCACAGGATACAGGTCAGTGCTCTAAATCAATTCTATTTTTTTTTTTTTATACTAGCAATGGACAATTTGAAACTGAAGTTTAAATATACCATTTATGGCCAAGTATGGTGGCTCACACGGTAACCCTAGCACTTTGGGAGGCCAAAGTGGGTGGATCACCTGAGGTCAGGAGGAGTTTGACATCAGCCTGGCCAAGATGGTGAAACCCCACCTCTAACAAAAATACAAAAATCAGCCAGGCATAGGGCACATGCCTGTCATCCCAGCTACTTGGGAGGCTGAGGCATGATAATTGTTTGAACCTGGGAGACACAGGTTGCAGTGAACTGAGATCATGCCACTGCACTCCAGCCTGGGCAGCAGAGCAAGACCCAGTCTCAAAACACAAAACAAAATTTATACTACCTTCAAAAATATTAAATATTTTTGTATAAAATAAAACATGTACAGGATTTGTGTGTTGAAAACTACAAAATGCTGATTAGAGAAATAAAAGAAGATCTAAATAAATGAAGAGGTATATTGTGTTCATGAACTGGAAGATGCAACAGGATAAAGATGTTAATTCTCTCCAATGTGATCAATAGGTTTAATGCAATTCTAATTAAAATCCAATGAAAATTTTTGTCAATATAGGCAAGCTGATTTTCAAAATTTATGTAGAAAGATAAACTAGAATAGCTAAACAATTATGAAAAAGAATAAAGTAGAAGAAATCATACTGCTCAATTTTAAGACTATAATCAAGATAGTGTAGTACTGGTGAAGGGAGAGACACATAGATCAATGGAACAGAACTACAGTCCAGAAATAGACTCATACTAATATGGCCAAATGATTTTTGGCAAAGGAGCAAAAGCAGTTAATTCAATGGAGAAAGGATATCTTTTCAACAAATGGTGTTGGAACAATTAGACATTCATATGCAAACATTAATCTCACAACTTGTATAAAACTAACCTAAAACAGATCATAGATCTAAATGTAAACCTATAAAACTTAAAATGTTTTATATAAATGTTTTACTATAAAAATGTAAAACCATAAAATCTGTAGAGGAAAACACAAGAGAAAACCTGCATCATCTAGGATTAGGCAAAGAGTTCTTAGGATATCTAAAGCACAATTCATAGAAGAAAAAAAGGGAAATCAGAATTTATCAAAATGAAAACTATTGCTTTGTGAAAGATACTGTTAAAGTAAAAGATAATCTATAGACTAAAAGAGAAATCTTTGCAAATCAAACAACTTACAAAGTGCTATTCTGGAGAGTACATTCCTGTGATTGCTATAACCTTTCAAACCAATTGTGAAATAATTCTGGGCTTACCCATTTGTCACCAAGACTCCAGTTGGCACCGAATCCCTGTTGAGAGCTTCCAATGACCAACGATACAAGTTTTGGGAGGACTTCTTATTTGTTAAGTCGTGTACTAAAATAATACCTAAATCAGAGAAAAATATGTTAATCCTTTAACAATTTCTCTTCATTTCACAATTGGCCAAATGAAGCTTGGTGAACAGAAGCATGGTTGCTTAATGAATCTAGCATTCTAGTATGACTAACAACTCAGGCACAATTATTTTAAAATTTCCTCTACAAATATTTATAAATAATGAGCCACAAACCTTTCTCTGTCAGTTTTATAACTAGTTACTTTACCAGGGCTGACAAAATGCCATTAAACTTTTGGCAGATCTTTTATTCACTCAACACTTCCTAAGTGCCTACTGCATGCCTGTTCCTACTTGTAGAACTACTACATTGATCAAGAGAATCAAAACTACTTCAAGCATATATAAAATTATATTCATTCAAAAAGTTATGTTGTTTCTTCACTGTACATAGTACTGCCATAGATACTAGTACACACACATAGTATTTATACTTACTAAAAATAACATTAAATAATGAAAATCTATTAAAATAGTATTGACTTAAAATAATTGCTATTATTTAGCTGACAAAACAGTGTCCTGTAGATCACCTGAGGCTAATCAACTCAAATGTCTAATTTTCTAGTTCTCTGAATAATGATTAGTTATGTAAGCTTACTACCTGTAAGAGATAGAGCAAAAGAAATGTGTCACGGCCGGGCACGGTGGCTCAAGCCTGTAATCCCAGCACTTTGGGAGGCCGAGGCGGGTGGATCACGAGGTCAAGAGATCGAGACCATCCTGGT